TATCGCTACTGGATGGAGTTCATTTCCTTTTCGGTCTACCTTCATCTCTCCCTCTCCCTTGGCTTTGTAGGTGGGCTTGGATACATTAGAATTTTCAGTGCTAAGCTTGCTGCCTGAATTTATAAGCTCCACGGCCATTTATATTGTACGTAGTATGTACTGAGAAGTACAACTACACTTATGCAAACAGAAAAACCGATCTGCGGCTTGCTGGAGTAGCGCTGTACTTGTGGAATTACCGACAACTCTGCTTTACGCCCCATGTATGCAAGTGAAGCCCGCGCATGTTTCCCCAGCGATTAGGAGTCGCAAACTCTGAGCAGTATTAGCCAGCCAAACCATGTGAGACACTTTACCATAAGTAAGTAAGCATGAAACCCCGGGTGAAAAAGGCGGATAAAAGAATTATTCAAAAAATGCTGACCAGAGGGATGGACCTAACAACTTGAGCAGCAGTTTAGCTGGCCTACCGCAATACACCCCCACGGGATAGTGCGTACGGGCGATCAATCGAACGTCAGAGGAAAAAGTAAAATACGAAATATCCATACAGAAATTTGAGAAGTCACCAGGACTGGATTGTCTGTATCCAGTTCTCTTCAATTAGGGCGGAGAAAACCTGGTGACCTATCCGACAAAACTCACTGATGAGAAATGGGGTGAAGAGAATGTGCCTGCATAAGGGACATGTCGACAGTTATTCCTATATTCAGAGTCTAGTGAGGCCATAGGATAAGTAACGTTGAAGTACATCGAATGGTCTTTTGAGGAAAACGACTCACCCAAGACAGAGGAACTGATCACACTTCATGGGTTGCGCTGGTTTGGTTACGTGCTTCGTATGCTAGTCAACCGAATTCCTTAAAAATACCTCAAATTATGCAAACGAGCCAAGGGAGGTCAAGAAGAGAATTTACAGTAAAGCATGAAAGCCAATACCAACAAACTCAGCTGCGCTGGTCATTTGTCTCCCTATATGGGGACCCCGAGATGGGACACACCACTGGTTACAGAAATTTTCATACATAACCCGGTCTTGCGCTCAGTGGCGCGCATGCATCCGAGCTGTTGCCTTCAAAGCATAACTTCACCTCCCGATGTCCTCAATGAAAAGTTCACTAACCCCATGCCTTGAATCATCAATTTTACCAGCTACCGCCTCGAATGCGTAGCTCTCCAGCCCTACCACTGCAGATCATTGGCAAACTAACTTTTGCGCAACATGTAAGCAGTTGTCAAAGGTGATGATGATGATGGTGGAAGATATCCTACGCTGCGCACGGTGACTGTGAACATGATTCTTAGCTTATCTTTCCGAAATGGATTTTGCATATATGTGCATGTACACGGTGGGTGTGTGTCCCTGAATCAAGATCTAATATGTTGCTCATAGTGTCGTTAACCTTAAGTTCTTTAAGGTTCAAGTTCGATGATCCTAAATGGAAATATTGAGTCACTTTGGGAATCTTTATCACATTTTGGAATCAAGCATACTCAGATCCGTACAACAATGTTATAAACTCGCAATGTAAACTTATGCGTTCTGGGGAGAACCACTTGAGCTCTTACCCTTTCTGAGAGCAGGAGAGGAAGAATCAACCTAAATGGTAGCCTACATTGGCCGGAATTTGGGCTTCAGACGTTCTGCAAATATCAATATTTTATTCGATTAACTTAGAGATGCTTGGCAATCTGCGGGGTGTGGAGAACAACAGCCTTGTTTTCTTAGTCACTCACGATATCACTTCAGGAAGTAAGTCACTCCGTGAAATAAGTCTTTTGAGTTAGTTGAGTGTTAAAAATGTCTATGCACAATTTTCAAGACGAGCATCTTCAGCCAATTTGAGAACGTCAGTGTGGGATGTTAAAAATTTGACCAACAGGACTCACTACGTGTCCCTTAGCTCCATTCTTTAAATCCTAGCTTCAATGATCTTTGACGATTTGTGGAACAGTTTTTGTATATTTCTTTGGTTGTGGTTGTAGGAATAGCCCGAGGCAGAATTGAAAGATAGGCTATCCTACATGAACTTCTGTGATTTATTATTTATTATTATAAACGAATGTAAGGTATGTGCTACAGTGGCAAGTCTAGAATTGACCGGGTAGTTTAACATTTACACGTAATAATAAACGGACATTTTGTGTATACAGACAAATCCCAGATACCTAATCGATATCCAACAGGTTGCTCACGTATGCATGTGGCGGAATCCCTATGTTATTTTCACTAAATACCGTTTTTGGACAGCCAAATTAAACGTTACAAGTTCCGGTTGTTTACTGACTACTTCCGAAAACTTATTTTCTGTTAATTTTTGGTTGTCTGGCATGTGAAAATTAACTGTGCCCGTAGGATTACTTGATCGATCATTCTGCCAAGCGATGTTCAATCTGAACCAACCAAAAATGATTAAGACTGCATGATCCAATCGTATTTTACAGCTTCTTGTTTGTGAATAGCCTGTGTCAATATGGAAAATCGGCCCTTAATCAGTTTTCTTTCTATAAATGAAACTTGACGGTGAAGCGACTTGAATCGAATTAGGATTATCTCCAGATTACCTCTAGGGCCAGATCCTATAATAGTTGCTTTAGCGTTGTTGTGCAAAATTACTAGATTGTGTAGAGTTGTAAATTTATTACAATCAATGATTACAAGAGAAGGACCACAAAATGCCCTCCTGCTTCCTAAATCTTGGCCGTTTCTTCCGTTACCCATATAACGTTTCCCAGCATGTCACTGGGAAAGCCGTACACAACCGCGTCCTTCAAGCAGAAAATATCAAAGAGGTGACCAAACATGATTTGTTTCGGGAAACTACGCTTAGAGATGACGGACTTTAAGTATGACAGTTCATTGCGGTGATCAAATATAGCTTTTGGGAACAAACCATGACGGTTTTAGTAGCCAAAAAATGATATTGTCCGTTTTTCTTGTATACTGACCCATTTGGGACGTTTTGTGTTTGTTTGTGCGTACAAACGCTGTGTGCCCCAGTCAGTGACGAAGTTCTCGATGCAACGATCTATGTACTAGATCACCCAAAAAGTCAATCGTAGTGCATTTTGTAACTAGGTGGATTGTGACAACTGTCTGTTTGATTAAGAGCTCTGTGTCTAACACATCTTCACATCCTGAAGAAGAAACGCCTTAGCTTGCGACAGAGGGTTTTTAGTTGCATTTGATTATGCCACTAGAGTGATGCGCTGTAGAACTGGATTAGAATACTATGCGGAGTTGCCATGATATTACTGTAAAACCGTAACTCATTGGTGAGGATGTTTGATTGGTAAGCTGAGGCAATGGTAGAAGTTTCAAACCTCTGTTCTGCTGGCTGAAAACGGTGTCGTCTATCCGTATGGCGACTGATTCATCCGGTTTGAGCCTTCTGTGGACGATAGCCTTCGACCGAGTTATAAGCTTATTGGCCTGGTCGGTTTGATCCAATGGTCTGTATGAATAAGAGAACTAGCGATTCGACCGCTAGGCTTTTGATGAATCAATAAATGCTCCTTGGTGCCTTGTCTTTCGATTCACACAGTTTTCGGAGCATTCTCAAACAAAAATAGTTGTAGTGGGACCAGAAACACCTATTATTTTTCCGTGAGACTCGTAATGAGGAGTTGAACATTTCTTCTGCTGTGCCTTATTGAACGGTCACCTTTGGTCGGTGGTCGAGCAACTTGCTGCGTTCGCATCATGTCACTTTTCGGTAAAATTTGAATGTGAATTGCGTTTTCTCCAGTCTTGGAAGCTTCTTATCACTAAATTTTGGCTGGAACGCCCCTTTACGAGCCGCTTCGAGTAACCACTCTCAACCGAATTTCCTATGAGTACATGCAGTTTGGCATTTTAATCCGATATTCTATCTTATCGCTGCACGTGTTCGATGATATGCGATTGAAAACAACCGTTTACAAACATGTATATTTCATTGCTGTTGAAAGTAGGTTGTTCACTCTTGTGTCTTAAACAGGCTTTTGTTCTCGCAGACATCGTGGGGTTACCTGTGCTTTCCTTGGCAGGCAAAATTTTTAACTTTGCTAGCATATCACTGAGGAGGGTTTTCCATACGATTTCTGTACAAAAAGATATGCCCGCTTAGTAGGCTTCATTGTTTGCGGGTTCTACACAATGGATCTTGGGATTAGAGTACTCTTGGAATGTCAGACGATCTTGCGAATCGGTTCCTCTGGATTTCAGGCAAGCGACGGAGTTTAATGTTGGCCAACTCGAATAATGAGTTGGTGTATATACTCGGTCGCACGGCTTCTCAGTATACGGCTTAAACATTTTAGTAAAGGTGGCAACAAAATCCATCTGTTACAAAAAGATTCTGTCTCAGCCACGAAGGCTATGTATTCGGTAAATGAAACAAGGACACCTTGTTCGTGGCCATTGTCTACTGAGCTGAAATCTGCCAGTTGATTGCTCATGCGAAGAATTATGAAATTATGATAGTTGGTCGTGTTGGATGGCAAATGTTTAACCTAACAACGCTGGCAGGATGATGGCACGGCCCAGATAGTACCACGTATGGAGAGTGTTGAACAACTGTCGGGATTTCTCGTGTGAAAGTGATAAAACCTTGAATTGAGTGCAGAATGAATAAAAGGCCAATCACCGTTGGGGTTTTTTCTGAGTGAGGAATTGTGTTCTAATGATTTACTCTTTTGAAAGTGCTCAGTGAAGAATGGCAAAAACAGTATATTCAGTAGAATAGAATGCACAGAATGAAAAGACGACACAGACTACAGTAAGTTCGATATCATCTTTATAACCTTTTTTGACCTGCATCTGAACTATCCCTGACGTGGGCGTTGATAAATCAGTTTGACCGTGAGTGATTTGGGAGTTCAAAAGATGCGTTTCAAACGTGTTTGCAGCCAGTTATGCTGAAACAATTAATGAGCCTATCGTAGGAAGAAGAATTATTAGTTAGCCACAAAATTGTTTCAAGTTGCAGATACTAATCCTTACATTTTTCCTTTTGCAGCCAATCTCACCGACGACAGGGGAGAAGAACTAACTTCATAAGATTCTTTCATCTTGGATAAAAATAAAGCTACACTGAATTGAATTTTTTCCATCTTATGCGGCTTCCGTTAGTTGATCTGCGATTTTGATCGCTTTTGTTCGCCTATTTCAAGTGACCTCATTACTGTGATTCCAAATTTGTTCTGCCAAGACTCATCTTTTCAGTAATGACCCGCAGCAGTACAAACAACTCGCAAACATGTTCGCAGGCCTTGGTTTATTGTAGTGGTGAAAATGGGTTTAGTTCATCGCCAAACAGACCAATTGATCCGGAGCTGCATGGGGATGGATCTGTAGCAATGCTTAGAAAGCAGACATACGCCCAAGCGGGTCCGTGTCGAAACTTGGACAAACTGATTGTATTACAAAACGGGCACAACGATCAGCTTTTCCCAAAAGTCCTGTGTAATGGAGTTGGCAAGTCAACGACAAACGGTCTGTTAACCAAAACGTGGAAGTCAGTGGGAATGTTGTACGAGAATGAGAATCACAAAAAACTCATTAACAATTCAAAACAGCATGCACAATCTCGGGGCAAAAATGGCTTCCGTTCGTGCGAAAGGGAATGTGAAAGCTCGCCGCTGAATAAAAATAACTGCGATGTATCCAACAGAATGACTCTGCTGAGTTTGGGGAAGATAGAAGTTAATTTGCCGAAAGTGCATTCGAACCAACTCACATCTACACATGAAAAAGTATCTGGGGATTTATCGTCCTGTGACTCAGGTGAGAATGTTTCTCCAAGTAGACCACTCAGTGTGGACAAACATCTACCGCCAAAGCTCAATGAGGAGACAACTGAGGTGGACGAAAATGGAACAGCTGACCTTAGCCCTTCCTTGAAGGGCAACGAGTCGGAACAAGTCAATGGGATTAATGTGGAATCAGATGTATCAAAAGGATCTACTGAACCTACGGACGCCAATATTATCGCAGAGCATTTAGATATGGCTGATGAAAAAGAGGTGACAATCGATAAGTTCGAGAGTGAACTTGAAGGAAATGTGTATGATTCAGAAGATTCTTCCAAATCGGATAATGATGTGTCACAAGAAAACCGGACAAATTTAATTGTGAATTACCTTCCCCAAAATATGACCCAAGAGGAAATACGGAGTTTGTTTGCAACAATTGGTGAAGTGGACAGTTGTAAACTGATCCGAGACAAGAATACAAGTAAGCATTCTGGCGTTGTATTCTGTTTGTGTAAAACCGATGACCTTGAAATAATATTTGGCAGTGAATCGGAAGACAAAAATGATATCCTCCATTAGCTTGTTTACTGCTGTATATTCCAACCACGAGCAGGTAGACTGTGATTCTCTGCATTTTGGCTGCTTAACGTGACTGTACAATACTCACCTGTAGCCAAGGCATTCAAAACGTTTAATCTCAAGTACAACTTCATTGCGCGATTAGTGGACTAGTGTACTGAATGCATCAGAATATTTTGCAAGAAAACACGTGCCTTCCGGGTAGTTGTTCACGTACGAATGTTTTGTACTCTGCCGTATTCTAAAAATCAGGCGGCATGATATATTGCGGCTGTATTTAACCAAAAGAGATCATTTAACGTTGAACTAGCCACCGACAAATCCATTCGTCCACAATCCACTGCAGTCAATATTTTACACAAAAGCAGATGATGACTGGAGGAAGTATTCAAACATTTTGTACAGTTATCTCTGGTCATTAGAACGTCCCCAGATATTCATATATGAGGCAGGAATACTACAGTAAAAACGGTACAAAAAAACACACCCTCCCATCTAATTGTGATCTAGCAACCGTTCTTTGACGCGAAAATAAGAAAAAATAAAATTTCATTCATTCATTGGCCGTAATGATTTTTGACATCAAAACGAGGTGTTTGTGATCCTAAACGACCGGCTTTTGGACGAAACTACCAACTAGCTCCGCTATAATGCGTCCATTATATACGTCTTCTTGGGCTTACGTAATTTAAGACGAGGTATACACATCAGAACAATATCGACGGTGGTGATTAAATAAAACCAAGCTGTATCATGTCTACAAGTCCAAGAAAGAGTCATTTTACTTCAGCTTTGGTATGCTCATCATCTCCTACTTCGAAATTAGGTGGAAAATAAAACTCAAATGAGCTCCCGTACACACAGCGGAAGTTTTTGTTTTGATCTGACCAACTGACGTCTGTCATTAGCTTTCTTTGGATCTTTTAGTTATTGAAACTGCCCAGCTTTAGTTAATTTACTACGGAATACAATGACGTTGGCTAGTGTAAAATTGAGGAACGTTTGCTCATTTTCTGAGCTTGCCGAGCCATCAAACTGTGTGGTGCCTAATCGTCAAACATCCCTAGTAAGGGCCCAGGTAATTTTCCTTTAACTTAGTTGAAGATTCTATCAGGCAAGACACATAACTAATCTCAGTGGCCATTGTGCTTTTATTTTCTGGTCAGGTTCTCAAGCTAAAGGTCGTTTTTCATTGTAAGCTGAGCTTGTGTGGGGTAGGGCCCACAAGGCGTGGCGAGTAAATAACTCAGATGATGTCGTCATAAGAAATGTTTAGATATGTGCCGGTTATTGATCTATACACCTTGATATTCACAGTTCTTTCTAATAAAATGAGATGTCTACACACAGTTTTCACTGTGCCATTTCCTCTACTTTTTACCAAGGCGTTCTTTCCTAATGGTTGTATAGCGGCGTTTACCAGTGGTTGATTTTTGCCTCAACTATAATGCAAGATATTGCTTACTAAACCAGAAAATGTGGGACAGATTTTCTTAAATTATAATCTTTCTTTAAGTTTTCGCGAATGTGAGACGAACAACAAGATTGATATCTGCCTACGCTGCTTTTGTTTATTTAGGTTATTCACAGTTGACCGGTAGGTTAATTCATTTCCATCTTCAAGTCTTCCTATCTAACAAGGCAGTCTTATCAAATTAATAACAAGCGTTAAAAATTGGCCTACAGAATTTCGGAAACTTGATCAGCTAGGGGGAAAACGGCGCATTAAAGCAGGTACATATGTGTGGTTACAAGCGCAAGGTAAAAGTAGGGAGCTTTCAGAGGAAGAAACGGAAGTCCCATGGATTGCATCTCGATGAATGATTAATGTCATTCCTTTGACAAGTAAGCCGGACTGGTCACATGACATATTGGACTGCTGCAAAAGCAACATTGAATGGCAATGTTAATTGGCCGTCAAATCCACCCCAACCAATGTTGGGCTGCTGGTGCAACATTTAAGCACAGCAGTTGCATATTTTGCAGACAATCTGATTCAGGTTTTTCGGAAGGAAAATCGCAAAATCTCATTTCTTGTGAATTGCTTTTCAGTAAAAATCAGAGGAAATGTTTTTTTCCAGTTTTTTTCAAACCTGAAACATTGTTGTGCTTGTGGTTTCCTCAGTTATTCTATTAGAAAAAGAAAACGCAACAAAGTAAGAATTAATCTTTGAGCTCATGAACCAAGTGAAAGCACTCTGTTAATTGACTGAGTGTAGAAAGGTGTCGTTTATGTGCCCATAAGGACCACTTGTCTTACATTCAGTGTTTGGGAATACAGAGTTAGTTGGATTTTTGGCTGTGTGATTCATTTTTTAAACTGGTGCCAAAATGACAAAAACTATCCCGCTAGCTACGCGACTCGGATTTTTGTGCAAAATAACCGTGACTCTAAAAACGGGCAACATACGTGTGCAGAATGTTTGCAACATCCCACCCCAGTAGTAGTTTTATGGAGGTTTAGGATGAATATTTAAAAATGGCCAGTAAAAAGAATATCCTGTTTTATGGACAAAAATAACAGACTGTAGATTGTAGTTCATGACGCTATTCCATTCCGATTACTCAGACAATCAACATATCCAGCACAAAGATGGGTGACGGAGGACCCATTGTGTATGTAATTAAAAGTTTCTGGAAAGTTCACCGAGTTGGAAGAAACTACGGTGGCTTAGACCCAGCGCCATTCATCAAACCGCTAGTTTACATAATGACCGTATTTTCAGATTCGTAGATCAAAGCTTACTGCGTTTTCCGGTTTCTGTGCAAAATATTTCCCAAGGCATTTAATGTTTTCAAAAACACCCGTTTAAAAGAAAGTCAACCACAGAAATGTTTCGCATTCCTCGAATTCTGTAGGGCGTTTCTTCCGCTGAAGGTTTAAAAGCTTCTACCATCAAAGCACTTTAATGAACCCAACCGCCAACCAGACTGTTGAAAAAACCTCAGTGCTTCAAAGTCGTATGGCGAGTACGGACAGCTTGATAGTTGTGTCGTGGAGAATTGTACCAATGGTTTCTAAGTCGCTTGGAAGGTAATTAAACCAGCTGACCAGCGGTCGTTAACTGGAGATAAGTTCACCTCTGCCACTCAATAAGTTTCAGGGTTTTGATCCTCTACGCACACTCAGCTCCTCTGCTTTTCAACATGAAACGATAAATCGCAAGTTTTACTGTCCAACGATATTTGTGAGTTGCGACCTTATAATATTCTCCTGCTTATCAGCGCAGCTTAAGCTTATTTAACGCTTCTAGTCGGAATTTTTAAACTGTCTGTAGATAGTAAACTCAATATATCACATAGAGGATAACTGGAATTTTGAAACACTGGGACTTTTCCTCATGAAAGTGCATGGAAGACAACTCTCTTGCTTGACGCACTGAACTTACGTTTGCAGTAACCTTGACGTGTCTCAGCTATTTGGGGAAGAAGCTGCTGAAGTAGCCATCAACCCGTGGCCCTGGAGTATAATCATATCATCTGACCAAACACCCAGACTCTCAGTAGAACAATATGCCGGAAAATCACTTGTCGACGAACCCTTTATGTTATCTGCTCAGCTTATTGACATAACTTGTTCTGGATCATTTGTGAACAATGTATTCCTACTTTGGTCACCAGATCGATAACTGGGTAATTACCGCAGCGAATGTGCTGCAATTTGTTGAAGTTAAATAATGCCACGAAGGCATTATAAAGGCATGTTTCACTGTTCGAAATTTTATTAACTTGTGGTAACTGGAATATTGTTTTTAGCCCTTGGAGTTTACGCAAGAATATTTATAGTTAAAGTGATATAAGCCGCACCTTGTTGAAAGAGGGTA